GGGGGGGGGAGGGGGGGTCTTGTGAATCTTCAGATCGGTTGTTTCTGTTTTTTCAGACAAAATGTTGTATCAGCTTAAACAGTTTAAGCTCATTAGTTATCAATGGAAACATCTCTGGTACAGTCAATCCATACATAAACTGAATCACCTCTTTCAGTGAACTGCAGTTCTGTTCTTGTCTTCTGCACTGAATAATATCTCAATTTTGTATTTTACTAAATCTGATTTCTTTCACATTAACAAGTACAACACCTTTTGTGTAACCCAACTCATCTCTCTCTCTCTCTCCAGCTAGAGCGATTGTGATGAGTTTAAGACAAAAACTAGACTTGTTCCAGAGTTGCTTCTGCCTCTCCTGTACAAATTTGGCAAATGATCAATCTGAAGATCTTCTCTTGAGTTTACACCACAGGCCATTCTTGGCATGAATGGTGGCGCCGCTCACAAGCTCCACAGATTCAGGAGGACCCCTAAGCTCGACGTCGAATTTCTGCAACAAGAGAGCCAACGCAGCAGTTGACTCCATCAGTGCAAACTGATCTCCAATGCACTTCCTTGGCCCTCCTCCAAATGGCAATAACGCAAAGTCCGATATCACCTGTTGGTTTTTTTAATCATATTACACATACATACATGCATACACATATATATACAAACCTATACGCAGTTTTTCACTTTTCGGGTTATGGGTTTACGATATTTCTCGACTAAAACATAAGGTAAAAGATCATGTTCAAGGAAATGAAAGCTGGATTACCTCGTTCGGGTATAGTGCTCCAGGGCTTCGAGATGGATCAAAGCCTGCCCATCCCTCTATTCCATCGCTTTCCCGCTTCCGTAGAAACCTCTCGGGTTCAAAATCATCGGGACTGTCCCAAAAGTATGGAGATCGGTGCAAATTGTAGACCTTGAAGAAAGAAAAAATAGGAATTCCAGAAAGGCTAGTGAAGTGACCAAAGTGAAAGCAATATTAGAAGCTAAACGGCTTACAGATATAAAAATATCGGTCCCCCGAGGAATCCTATGACCTTCCTTTTCGCCATTGTATCCTCCTGAGCCATGCAAGAATATGGCCAAAAAACGAGAGAGAGAAAATCAACGAGATAAGGTTAATAAACATGTATACGTTAATATGACTCGAGTGAAATGTTCATAAAAGTTGAAGCATTATTACCAGGTAAGATATCGGGTTTTAGTGAACGTCTGATGAGCAAAGGTGGCTGAGGATATAGCCGAAGGGATTCAACAACTATAAGTCTTACATACCTGCAGAAAAAGGAAAGAACGAGCTCACAGATTCTGTTTACGTAAAAAAAACGAGACAAAGAAGGATCGATGAAGAATCTTGATGAACATACTCGAGTTTTTTTATTGATTCAAAAGTGGGTATGCCTTGGCGACCTATCACGGAATCAATCTCCGCTTGAGCTTTTCTAATTTTCTCCGGATTCTGCAATTTTCCCACAAAAGAAAAAGAGGTAAAACGTCAAAGGAGGAATCTGAAACTGTTCTGACAAAGACATCGAGTTCATATACACACTTGAGCAAGAAGGAAAACCGCCCAAGTAAGAACAGCCGCAGTGGTTTCATGTCCAGCTATTAACATTGTCATCAGGTCATCTCTCAGCTGTTGAAACAAAATCCATAAAGCGGCGAATGAATACGAAAGAGGAGAAGAATAAAGAAAAAACGTAAGGTGATTTTCATGATCGAAAGCTAATTATCTTTTACCTGCTTATCATCGATATCAGCACCCCTCATATCTACTAAAAACCGCAATAGACTTGCGTCCTGAGGATCCAAGAATCAAAATCAGAAGTTTTTTTTTTTCCGAAGAGGGCATTACCTATATGATAACGAGAGAAAAAACCGGTCATCAAACCTTGAGATTTGTGTAGTCCCTCTGCTGGAGCTTCTCCACGTCGGTTTCCTGATGGAAAACATAAAGAATAGGTTTCGTAAAACGGGTATAACAATATACAGGTCTAGATACAATATGGCACTGTAATGGAATACGGTTTCATCATTATATGAAGAAGGTAACTGAGTAAACAACCTGCCTTGTCTCTTTAGCATTTCGAATGAGTCCGTCAAGACAGTCGTTTATAATCTTCAGATCATTTTGGAACTTTCTTTGCCTCGGGACTATCCACTTTGCCAGAGGAAATTTCCAATACGGGAAGTAGAAGGTAGAACGGTGTTCTGCCTCGAAAAGGGTTCCATAAACTGCCTGTGATGCAATCACAAAAGGCAATGACAGTCACAGCTACTTGAGTAAAAAAGAAAAAGCATGAAAGATCCATGCTTTGAGGAAAATAAGATGAAAGGGTGCCTCAATTAAAAAAGAAAATGCAAAATAACAATAATTATTCAACGTATATACCTTGATGACAGGAGATTCGTTCGTGACAGAGCCGAAGTCATAGTTGAAGATGCCTAAACCAATAATATCGAGGGCCAGACTCGAAAATTCTGCCTCGAGGTCCAACTCGACCATGTTCTCTCCAAAAGACACTTCTTTTTCTCGTAGGATTTTCTCGAATTTCGATATCATTTTCTCTGAACAATCGCTAAATACTTTGACCATAGCCTCCAGGTATAATGCATGGAATGCAGGAGTGATAGCTGTGACATATATCGAAAAGAATATCTGATGTAACAATGTCGTGACATATATGTTAGACAATCATAAATTGCTTACCTCTTCTCCTCGGCTTCCAGGTCTCGAGGTCAGCCGGTATCAGCCCTTTTCCCATAATGGGTTCCAAAATCTCGGAAAGAACACCCTGAGATTATGCAACAACTCTTCAATAAGTTTCTACTGAAGAGAAACAGAACAATGCATATACGGTACAGGACCTTGTCATATGAAAACGCGTTTTCACGAAGGATGTGCCTTGCAATGATTGGATCCGAGACGACCACAAATGCTTTCGGCCCAAATGCAAGCTTGTATACTCCGCCATGCTTCATAAGATTTGCATCGGAGAGAAATTAGTTTCAGAAAGTTGTGGAATCATCGATGTTGACAACTGTGAACTCGGTAATAGTAACGAACCTCCAAGAACCAATCGTACAGCGAGAAAAAGAGAGGCTTTCCGAACAAATCAGAGACTGCGCCTTGAGCGATGGGCATTGAGCCCAAGCTTCCGCCACTCAACAGGTTCGTGAGAAGGTTACTCGCATTGTCGAAAATATTCCTAGTCTTCGGTTCCTTAGTACTTGTAGACTGGCATCTGCTCTTTCCATGGAATCAACTCAGTTACTCTTTCATACTGCATTGCTCTTAATAAGTCAACCATAGCTATGAGAACAAGATTGAAATCATTTCAAAAAATCTAACTTTTACACCAAAAAATATCGTCGCTGAATCGTTTTCGCCAACTAGAGATCAAATCTTTGAGCATTCCATCTACGGACAATCTTAAACCAATACAACATTGCTGGAAAGTTGTGATTTTTTTTTCACGCTGATACGGTTTCCAGATTCATGCAAACAACAAAACCATCACCAGATTTCCTCCGTTACGTACATAGGAATGGTAACTCATCAATCTAAACCCTAAATTAAGGTGAAACCCTCGAATCTGAAACCAAAAGAAAAGAAATTTGCAGGAAAAGCGCGAAACCACCTGATACGAGCAGACCCACTTCGAGAATATCCAACTGAAATACTTCTGGATGAGAAACCCAAAAGCCCGAAATCTCTGCTCCCTCCATGGAAACCGCCATGGCCAAAGCTCGAGGGAACACAAGGAGTACCAGCTGCAGCTGACGCCATAGCTGTCATCTCCAATTTCAAAAAATTCCTAAACTTTTTCTCCCAAAATTGAAGAAACTGAACCCAGAAAACGCCGAACGAGTAAATCGAACAACGGACGCCCTTCTTTGCGATCAATCGCAATGCTGTGGCTAGTTACTTAGTAGTGTTAATGCGCTAATCATGAACTTAATCTCAGTGTTTACTGGGAAGATTGTTCAAAAAACACAGACATGCAATCAAACAAACAAGTTAATTGCAATGAAGAAGATTTTTTTTGTTGCCTTTCGGACAAAAAAGTTTTTCTTTTTCCCTTATCTTCCTCTAATGGAAGCTCCACATGGCGCATGCCTATCTGAAGAAGCACCACACAGCATTTCGCAGAGATGATGAATCTTTGCTCCCACACGTGTCTTCCACTTCATTATTTCTAATTAAAAATCCAGCTCATCACCAATAAAAACATGCCAAGTGGCACCAGAGAAAAAATATTTTAATTGTTTTTTGTTTCTGACACCAATATCTTTTTTTTAACCCGGATTATTTTCTCTGTTTTACTATTGTAGCCGGTTCGAAAACGTGACATTTTCGGATAAATTGTAGTTGAATTTTAAATTTTGTTTTAATTAATTATGAATGATATATAATAAGAAATTAAACTAGAATAATTTGAAAACATACAAAAAAATGAAAAATTCTTTTACTATAGGATGATTAGTATGTTTGTAATTCGGAAACGTGAATATATTGTGATTAGAAATTATATTAAAGTGGCAAATTCATGTCTACGAATAGTTATATATATATATATATGCTGCACAGGATATATAGAAAGAGGCCATTAATATACATATATATATATATATATATATACGCGTGCATGCATGCGTGTATGGCATTCTTCTCTCCTTTTATTGCATTTCATCGCACCTAAAGTATAACCCTATTTAAAGAAACTTTAAATTCCATAACTATATGAAAAACAATAGAAAGTATTGTGAAAGTTCCCTTTTTAATTTACATGTTTAATTTTTTTATATATTGAGCCTTATATATATATATACAGAGAGAGAGAGAGAGAGAGAGATATTAAACTGCAAGTTGTAGACACTTAATATTAGCGATGACGACATTCATTACAAATGATACGTACGATCACAAAGACCCATGAACAGAAATTTCGTGTTCCATGCTTTGCCCTCTTTGTCAATATAAATAATCATCTTATATATGATCTGAATATTCAAATATATTGTTTTGATTTCGGTCCACTGTCAAAGTTTAAGGGCGAATAAACTATTAATTGGTGGTACAGTGGTTGAGGTGACAAAGTCACTTTAAAGTTATAGGTTCAATTCCACTAGTGAGGAGAAAGTGTGTAATTAATTGGGTGATTAAAAACTGATTCCGGGTTTAAGAGATCAAGTGTGTCAAAAAGATGCGGGAGTCTTATTTATAAAAAAAAAATTAAGGGCGAATATATAATGTATATACGATAAAAAAAATAAACAAAAAAGAGTAATGGTCGAAAATATATTTAATTTGACAAATGTATATGGAAAATGGTATTTATTATTATATGAACGAGGGATGTTGTTTAGACGTCGGGTCGGGTCTCCGGAAATTGCTGTGTTGTTTCCTATTTTTTTCCTAATTGACCAACTTCTCTAATCGTTTGAAGACACTTTATTTTATTTTCCAAGCCCACCTGCCCCGTCGATTAATTTAATTTTCCATGTATTAACAGTACTGTGTATAAATCAAATTGTTAAATAATTTTATAATCTAGTTATATTTTCTTATAAATTTAATTCCATGTTATTAAGAAATCCTTAAACCTTTTGCAAGAAAACGAGTTTCTTGAATTCTTGACAAAAAAAAATGTTCTTGTGACGTAGCCTAAATAAAATGGACCGTGATGACATTATCTAAACTTCTCGGTCAATTCATGAATTTCTTATTAAATAAGGGACTTATTAAGTAATTATGAAAGATAAGTCCGCATGCCGTGACGTGGCCAATTCGTCAACTAGATGGGTTCTCCCCCACAAAGCAGCCAATAATACCTAAGCTAAAATAAAATGTTTTATAACCAAATTTAATTTTTAAAGTTAAAAGTACATTTTAATTATAAGACAATTAATATCAAAATCGGAATGAATCGTCTTAATTAAAAAAAAAGGCAAATATCATATTGAAATCATGTAAATAAAATGTACATGAACCATTTCGTTGTGAACTTAAAAACATTATTTTGTAATTTTTTTTATTTGATAACCAATGATATATATAAACCAACAGATTGTTATAATACGAATACGAATATATACGTATATACAATAAGCGATAAGAGCTTGCGAAACCCACGTGGCGAAATCAATGGCCGTGATTTATTCTAAAAGTCTTCCTTTGACCAAGTCTCGTCTATTAAATAATTTAAAAAAGAATTTTAAATAAAATAAATAAAGGAAAATATTTCCATATATATACTGAACGAAGCCTTGTCTATGCTTCTTTTCTTTCTTACCAAAATCTATTGTCTGTCTGCTAACAGCGATGGCTAATCCCAACGACTGGTCTCAGTTCTACAACAACCAAAGCTTCTTCTCCACCGCCGTCACCACCACCGCCTCCGCCGCCGGAGACTCTCGCCTGAACCCGGAAACCGGTCGGGTCTCTAAGCCGGCACGGCGCCGCCATGACTTTCGCGTCGGGTTCGGTTCCGGCCGCGGGCTTCACTCTCACTCCGCCGTCGTCGAACCCGGCTCTAAACCTCGCCGGAGATGGCTCCAACCCATCTCCGTCGTGGCAGTACACGTTCCCTCGAGCGCCGACGCCGCAGCAGCAGACGCGTCCGTACATGTTCTCGCTGAACAACGTGAATCACGACGTCATGGGCACCGTAGGAGGTGTGAACGCGGCCGTTTCCGGCGGGTTTCCGGAGGTGGAGGAGGACGGAGGAGGAGGTTGGAATCCTCCGCCGCCGCAGCAGGGTCTTGGGTCGAGGAATGGGAAAGGCTCTTCCGGTTTGCAATGAGAAAACGATCAATGGAGAATTCTTTAGATTTTTTTTTTTTTTTTTTGCATTTTTTTTCCAAGAAGCATAAAGGCGGAAATGTTAGGTACTGACTTTTCTTTTGTCTTAGAATGAAAACTTTGACTAATGTAAATTAAACTGTAGTGGTTTTTTTTCTTCCCATTCACTCGAAGAATGTTGTTTCTGTGTTTTATTTATCTATAGCTTTATGGACCGAAAGACCCCCAAAAAAAATATTTTAAAAATTCGAATTCCAATTCCAATTCTTTAATTTTACAAAACAACAGAATATTAAAAGATTGAACCGAGCTCTTATACATTAAATTTAATATAATTATATTCGTTTCTATGTGATTTTTTGCCAAGAAACATATACAACTTTTTATAATATTGTGTAAGTTTTTTTTTATAGATCATGATGAAATCGATATTAATAAATAGGCCATAATAAAATAATAATAATAATACTTTTAGTTATTTTAGTGCTACTATACCGAACTATTGTTTCCTTAGAATCGAGATTTCAGAAAATCCAAACAGTAATATGGATTATGTTTATATTCAAAACATTATTCATTTGATTGTTAGATATTATTCGTATCTTATCATTATTTTCGAATATCACGTGTTCTTTTACGTGGACAAGTTATCATTCGATTTTAATTTTAAGAATATTATTCAAAATTGGAGGCAAAATTTTATGATCGTAGGAAGAAATAATAAAAAAAAACAGACAGAATGATACGGATATATTCGAACCGCTTATTCCAAATTTTATGAGGAAATATCTATGATTTATTATTAATATTTTATATAAATTAATTATAATAACGAGGTATTATATATATATGTATGTATGTATATATAAAGGCTGAACTATTTTTAATAAAATTTAAAGGGGGATTTTGCCAAAGACGACGTTAGCGTTCAGAGAGAGATGATGTGATTTGGTGGAGGTAGGCTACCAAAACGTGAAGAATCTCACGTGATTGTTGATTTATTTGTTTATTTATGCCTCATTGAAATATTATTGCATCCATTGATGCAGCAAAGTTTGACGTATAAACTTTGTATATTGCATCCTTTAGAAAATTCCTTTGGCAATCAAAATTCCATTTCTCCTTCCTTTAAAAAAAATTAATGGCAATTCAAATATAAAATTTTCATTTAAATTATCAATTATTATTGTTATTATTTAAAAAGAATGGGAAATTGTTGTGTTGCATGCGTGATAGATTCTTTTAAGACAGCAACAAAAATTACATGTCAGTCCATTTGATATAAGTTGAGTTATTTAATTTCAAAACCTTATATATATATATATATGTATATATATATCTCCATCAAGACATATATATATATATATATATATATCTCACATCAACACTTTGGAAGAGATTAGAATTTTTGCATAGTCAACTTCATTGGAGATTAGTCAACCAAAACATTATGGAGTTATTATGTACATACCTTATAATGAAAAAAACGGATATATGACGTTCTAATATTTTTTATTTTTTTAAATATTTAGAGAATAGTTTCTGTTAGTGTTTGTTACGTCATTATAACAAATTATATATTGTATTGGTGTTTATATTGGTGATTATAATGGTGTGAATATATATGATTGTCTATATAAGAAATAAAGTAAAGAACCAACCCAATTCGTATATCTATCTCATGAGGGTGTTGAGGAAGGGAATATACTAGGCCATTTTAATTCTATATTTTTAACGTAGAGAGATGGATTCGAATCCACGACTTCAGATCTTATGGTTAATGGTTTTATTGTTGAGCCAAGTGGTCTTTTATATAAGAAATAAAGTAAAAAGAATAAAATATAGAAATATTTTTTATTTCATTTATATATTTTTCTCCATTTTCTTTGTTTGTTCTCTCTTACCGTTTTTTTTACGTTTTTCAATATGACTTTTGATGTAAATCTCATAAAGTTTAAATGTTCCAATTTTTATCGACCGATATATTTCTTTGAAAATACGAATAATATAAACTACCAATCACACCACATGGAAAATAAATATTGCAATGAAATTCAGGAAAAAGGATGTTCCCACGTAAGCAGAAATATAAAATTAATGAAAAAAATATGAAATATGTTCCTAATTTCAAGAAAAACTTAACATCGAAGGAAACATTATGTGGAAAATGAATCCATTATACTAAACTTTTAAAAATATCAGCGTGACTATATAAAATTAATGATACAAATAAATCCATTATGAAAATATCAATATTAACAATTTTAATTTAAGGATGAGTTGAGAAAGAGAGATGATATAAACGAGCAGTATCCAATTTTATTTATTTTATTTAATTTTTTTAACTAGTATCCAAATTTATTATTTTAGTGTTTGAATTTGTTTGCATAATAATGTTGGAAGGTTAAAATTCAAATAATAATAATATATTATATATAGTAAGTCGAGTCTTTTTCAAAGACTTGAGGATTCGTTTGGGGGACAAATGAAAGTGAGATGGATCGGCAGGAGGGGATGAACCCTAACGCATCGCGGGACCCACTTATATATACACGTGTGTTGATAATATACGTTTACAAACCCAATAAAAAGAAGCGAGCTGATAAGCCCAATAAATATTCCTCTCGCAGGCCCAAATGATCAGATCAACCATATAAATATACTTATTAAAAAAAATAGAATATGCAAACATATTTTTAAAAAATTAGGTCTAAAAATTGATTAAATTAAAGTAAAATATAAATTTAATAATCAATAAAATAATAACAAAAAAGTGAGTTAAAATAAATATTTTTGAGTAAAAATCGAATATGGATATCATTTAGATAGAATAAAAAAATTCAAAATATAAAATCAATGTAACTTCAAAAAGAAATGAAAAATCCAAAATTTACGCTGCACGTGCTATTGCTATTAAATTAGTAAGTTTTAAATTTTAATGGTGAGATACCGATAGGAAAATTTTCATAAATACAATTATTAAATATAGGATCATACATCTAAAAATTAAGAACAAACAGTAAGAAGTTTCCATTAATCAGGATTAATATGGGAATAAGAATAATGAATTTCGCAAATAAAAAAATTAGGGTTTTTGAGAGAAAAATCATACTAGTTTATATATATATATATATATATATATATATATATATAAACGTATTGTGAGCGTAGAACCGAAAAAGGAGCCAATCAAATCTATTGGTTGAAATTAAAAAAAATAAAAACAATAAAAAGACAAACAGGTGATTGGAGGGAAAGCCATAGAACGAGAAGATGGAGGGAAATGGCACCGGAGGCGACAAGATCGCCTGCGAAGGGACATCGTCGGATCGTCCTGTCAGAGTCTATGCCGATGGGATCTACGATCTGTTCCACTTCGGACACGCTCGCGCCATCGAGCAAGCTAAGAAATCGTTAGTCGATGTCGTTTCCCGATCTCCGCTTCCTGGTTTTCGTTCGAAGTTTTGCGTATCTAGAGCGATTTCGCGCTTTTCCGTCCGAGTTTGGAGGATTCATCTCCATTTCCGATTTGATCGTTAATGAATTTGCTTTCCTCCTTGTGACGCTTCGGGTTTGATAATGCTTCGATTTGGAAGTTTTTTCTTCCGTTTCCGGGATTGAATTTTTGGTTTTCTTTTGCTCTATTTTGAATTGGTGTCTGAATTTCATGTATTGTCTCGTACGTGAACGATGATCGATGATCAATGAGCTTGCTTGTTGCTTGTCTGAATCGATTTCTGGTGTTGGTCTGGGCCAAACAGGTTCCCGAACACATATCTGCTCGTAGGATGCTGCAACGATGAAACCACCCACAAATTCAAGGGCAAAACCGTGATGACAGAGTCCGAACGCTACGAATCTCTCCGACATTGCAAGTATGTCTGACAAATTGTGTAATATTGTCATCATTCGTGTCTAAATCGGTTAATGTTTCAAACAGGTGGGTGGATGAAGTCATCCCTGATGCACCATGGGTGATCAACAAAGAGTTTCTCGACAAGCATCAGATCGATTACGTAGCTCATGATGCTCTTCCGTAAGGCTTTGCCACCCATTGTAGTTAACTCTGTCTCAGTTTCCTTTTCCGGTTTTTCTTACACATCCATCAAAATGTATGAAATGATTTTTTCAGATATGCCGATGCCAGTGGATCTGGAAACGATGTCTACGAATTTGTAAGTTGCTGTGAAGGTTCTTCCTTCTGCTTTTATGGGTTCTCCTTCCTGTTTTTGCTGTTTGTATACTCTTGATTCAACACAGGTTAGGTCGATCGGGAAGTTCAAGGAAACGAAACGAACAGAGGGTATATCAACATCAGACGTAATTATGAGGATAGTGAAAGATTATAACCAGTACGTGTTGCGTAATCTCGACAGAGGATACTCAAGGAAAGAACTCGGTGTCAGCTATGTCAAGGCAGGACCTCCATGCCTCTGTAGTTGTCTGATTTATCCACAATGAACTTCTCTCTGACAGGATATGTTTATTTGCTACAAACAGGAGAAGAGGCTCAGAGTCAACATGAGATTGAAGAAGCTGCAAGAGAAAGTGAAAGAGCAACAGGAAAAGGTGAATGAAGGAAGGAATTCATTCTTTTACAATTCATTCTTTTACGTTTAATCATGTTAGAAGTACAATCGGTTTCATATGCACAACAATGGAGACAGATGAAAACTATACAAAAGTTTGGCAAAGAATGGCTTTCATAGAATTCCAGTAGAATGTCTTTTCATATCCCTGTCAATGGCGACCTGATTAGCTTCTGAAGTCTGTGATATTTTGCTGCAGATCCAAACGGTGGCAAAAACTGCTGAAATGCACCGCAACGAGTGGGTTGAAAACGCTGACCGTTGGGTTGCTGGATTTCTCGAAATGTTCGAAGAAGGTTGCCATAAAATGGTGAGCAGCTAAATAAACCATTCCTTTAACGCATGAAATTCTAGCAATGCATTGTCTCCTTTAATGGCATCTGCTGGTGATTTCAGGGAACAGCCATCAGAGATCGGATCCAGGAACGGCTAAAGATGCAACCCTCGAAGAAGGACCTGAACCTATTGCAAGATGAACAGAAAAGTAGTGACGACAAAGATGAAGAAGAGGATTAAGATGGTGAGTTCACCGAAGGCAAAGAAGAGTAAGAGTATTACGAACACAAAATAAGTGTTAATGTCAACAAGGAAGAGATTGAGAAAGCAAAGAAATAAAAGTTTTCTTTTGTATACCCGCAATTCTCTTCCTCTCCTTTCTCTTCGTCCATAGGTTAAATTTTACACTAATTCCAGCTTTTGGCTGGTCTAGTATCACCTTCTGCATGACCAATAAGCTTTTAGAACAGAAATCTCTCGACATTCTTCTTCATTCATCCTTCATCTCCTTAGTCAATCTCTCAATTATTCCGTAGATCTCATGGGATTGAGGATGTTTTTTATCTCTAGACACGAAACAGCTGACATGTCCTCCGGCCTCAATCCAGCTCCGACCAACTTCTTTCCTTAGACCCTTCTCTCTCATTTCTTTCCTCACCCGATCTACATTAGTCCATTTCCCTTCCTCAGCATACATGTTCGAGAGCAAAATTTGATACCCGGTAAGGTCCTTTCCTTTTTCTAGTTCAAGTAACTTTCCCGCCACAGTTTCTGCAAGCTCGAGCTCACCATGAAGCCTACAAGCCCCGAGAAGCGACCCCCATAATTCCACCGTGTTCCCTTTCTCGCCTAGTCCTTTGACAAACTCATAAGCTTCATTAACCCGACCAACCCTCCCTAACATGTCTGTAATGCAGCAATAATGCTCGGTTGAAGGCTCGATGTTGTGTTGTCTTGTCATTGATTCGAATATTTCGAGACCTTGATCTACTAGGCCGGAATAGCTGCAGGCTGATAACACCGCAACAAATGTGATAGCATCAAGTTTGATTCCTGACTCTTCCATTGATCGGAACAGAGAAAGAGCTCTTTCGCCCATTCCGTGCTGGCCGTAACCAAGTATCATTGTAGTGTAAGTGACGGAGTTTCTCTCTTTCGTTTGATCAAACACGTTTTCCGCATTCTTTATTGATCCTGACTTGGAATACATATCAACTAATGCAGATGCCACGAAGACATTGTGATCGAATGAATGGCGAATAGAGAACCCGTGCAGCTCCTTACCCAAATCAATACTGCCAATTTGGCTACAAGCGGGGAGAATAGATGCCACGGTTACAGCATTCGGTTCCATATTCTCTTCGATCATCTTCTTCACCGCAGCAAAGGCCTTCTCGGCCAGCCCATTCTGAGTGTACCCAGAAAGCATAGCATTCCAAGTAGCTTGGTCTCTGTCAAAGCTCCCGGCTTTCTCAAAGATTTGCTCGGAGATTCTAACTAAACCCGACTTTGCATACATGTCGATGAGGTAACTATCCATGCCCTCGAACTGAATCCCATGCCTGAGAAGAAACCCGTGAGTCTGTCTCCCGATATCCTTGTTTCTAAGATTTGAAGCAGCTGAAAGTAATGCAGTAACGGTAACAGAATCTATCTCGAGCCCCTGCCTCTGCATCTCGTGCACAAGCATCAGTCCTTCATCGTCTAAACCGTTCTGTACAAAGGCACTAACCATAGTGTTCCACGACACGACATCTCTTTCTGGCATCGAATCAAATACTCTAAATGATTCGTACACTGAACCACACCTCGAATACATGGAAACTAACGAGTTCAGCATCACCAAAGGTACTTCTTGAAAGTTCTTGACAACAAACCCGTGGAATTGCCTGCAGGGTCCCATTTGCTGTAACGCTGAAACGGCAGTCGCTGCCAAGATGAAAGTTACCTCGTCAGGAACAATCTCGTCCGTTCCCAATGCCCGGAGAAAAAGATCAATACTTTCATCTGGACAATCATTCATAACATAGGCACTGATCATCGTGTTCCACACCTCGATGTTTTTTCCGAGACAAGAGTCAAATATCTTCCTACAAGATTCGAGATGGCCAAGCTCTGCATACATAGAGATACTCGAGCTCACGGCAAACAAATCGGTCACATACTCGTCGCCCGATTTCAGCAATAACCCGTAAAAGACGTTAGCTTTCGCAATAATCCCTAAACCCGCGACCGCAGGCAGAACGTTCACAAAGCTGACAGGACTTGGACTCATCCCCAATCTCATCATTACAGCAAATTGCTTGGTCGCTTCTGCATACTTTCCCGTCTTTACGTACCAAGAAATCAACGTATTCCAAGCCACGACGTTCTTCTTTCGCATATTATCGAACAGTTTATGCACTACATCGTACTCAGAACGACCGGTTTCGTCTAAGCATGAAACGTACATGTTCAACAGAGAATTATACAGAACCCGACTCGGGTTCGGTAAACATCGGACGAAATGGCAATGCACGGCTTTGCCGATTCTCAAGTTCCTGGTCTCGGCACACGCCTTGAGCGTCGAGGAGTAAGTGTAGGAATCGGATTTGGTGAAAGGGGACGACTTTTTCATCCGAGCGTAGAACTGGAGAGCCTCATGGGGGAATCCATTGCAGATGAAGCCGATGATGATTGTGTTCCATAGAACAGTGGTTGGCTTGGGAATTGTGTCGAACAGCTGGCGGGCAAGCTGTGGGTTTCCTTCTTGGCAGATCCTGCTGAGGCGTGAACGGATTGAAGGGGTTTTCGGAGTTGGGTTCGGTGGGGCGAAAGTAGGAGAATAGTGGGTTTGATTCAGCGGCGGAGACGATTGCGACGGCGATAGATACGGCGGCGGCGGAGGGAGAGGAAGAGCTGATGAGGTCATTGCAATGGAGGTCTCTGGCTCTAGCTCTACTTTATCATCTCCTTTCGTGGTTTCTGTGATAAAGGAAGATTTGTTTTGGCAGTTAACCCTTTACTCCTCTCTTTTTTTTTTACTCGCAGTTAAAAAAACAGCTTTTCCTTTTTACCTCTTTATTACACTAAGGGTTATATATACATACTATATTGTAATGAAAGGACAGAAGTACAAATAGCCGTTTAGTAGCATTTTTATCAACAACGGAAAAACATACGGTGACATAAACTAAAAATTAAACCGAACCATAAAATATGTATTGATAATAACTAATTACTCTGCCTTTAATCCGACAAAAAAAAAAGCAAACAATCAAGAAGAAATCGCATAGAATTCGTCATAATTTCTCAGCATTTGAAGTAATTCAGAAGCTTCACATCACCGATTGATTCCCTCTTCTTCTTCTTCTTCGCCATCGTCGTCTTCTTGAAATGCCTCGAAGCTGCATTCAGCATTCCATTCCATCCCTAAACAGTTAAGAACACGGCTAAGACAGACAGAACAGGACGGAAGGAAGAACAGAGATCGACGAGATCTAAAGTGTATTTACCTTTGTACTAATCACAAAGCAGCCGAATTTCCGGGAATCTGCAGAGAACCCAGAGTCCACCTTCGATTTCCTCGTCTTCTTCCTCTTCATCTTGATCGCAGAAACATCGAAACCCAGGAACCTGTTCTTCGTCAACTTCATCTCTGTCTTCTTCTCTTCCCCGAGCTCGAGCGAGAGATCGCGACGCGAATCGGAGTGTAGATCGAGATCACGACCGTAGTTCCGAGGCAAGAGGGGAGACCAGAGTGAGCTCTGAGAGTAGTCGAAGCCCAGAGCTGAGTTGTCGGGGAATTTGCAGAGAAGATCTCGGGACATTACGGGTTCCAAGTATTCGACTACTTTTGCTGTAATAAGAGGCTGATTCTCTGTCTCTTCCTCCTCTTCTTCCGCTCTAGGGTTTCTTCGCTTCACCATTTTTGAATCTGATACTGAATTTTCTGAGATCTTTGGTATTGTTGTGTGGTTTTGTGAAAGGGTATGTGCGTGTGTGTATATATAGGTTGGGAGAAGGACGATGGAGAAGAACCAAAGTTACCGTTGGGGGTTGTCTTTGGGAAGGAAGGACACGTGGTGGGATTTCATTGGACGGTTAATAAATCACAATTATTTTCGAAAAGTTCCCGTTGGTGAACAACATTTCATTATGAAAAAAAAGGGATTGAGAAGTTGTGTTTACAAAAAATACTAGATTTAGTAATTTTCACAAAGAAATTAGAAAAAAAAAACATAAACACATGCTGAGTTGAAAACTGGATATGATAAAATAAGGTATTACCGTAACAATAGAAAATTTGTGATACCAAATGAGATTCATTTCTTGAAAGTAAATAAATGGTATTATTGAGCTTTGGACCGACCGCATGCTATAAACTCTTTTGCCTGATTTCAAGCCTAAAGGAAGTTTTTTGGTAAATGGGCTGTAAAGTGAAATGATCATTGGGCTTTTTAAGTCGCTTTGACTTCTTTGGGGGGTTGGACCAAAACCCAACTTGGTCAATTCTTTTCATTTTATAAACTAAAATTTTAAAACCAATATTGAATTATATAATATATTGTTTAATTTGAATCATGAGAACTTTAAATAAAGAAGTAGATTATATTATAAAAAAAAAATAGTAATATAAATAAGTTATAATATGTAAATTCAATTCAAGGAAATTAAACTAAAATACAGGTAAATAGAATGAAATAAAATCCTAACAAAAATACAAATTTACAATTCTATATTTATATATATGTCTATAACTTTTGAAAATACTCCATGCCTATTTATTTGTCTGATTCCGAGAGTCCACACATAATAATGCTATGAATGGTGGCATCATTATCTTTATAATACAGCAGGATCGACAATCGATATATATATATATATATATATATATATAGATTACTTTGAATCGTTTATTTCCACTTACGACTGAGATTTGGAGAGTATAGCTATTGTTAATAATTTAAAAAAAGATATTCATGGGCTCATTTCATATTTGATGATTTATAAATAATTTTCTCTCAACAATTATTATAGACTAGCTTTATTTTATTTTTTTATGTAAGTTGTGTTTTCGGGCCCTGCAAATTAACTTTCTCGAAAATCAATAGCAGGACAAAGATTCTCATAATTCAATATAGAAGAAAGCACATGTGAAATGAAAATGTAACAAAACAACAAAAAAATATTCCATAATTCTGCTTCCTTTCTTTTTATGCATCACTTTGCAAATCGCAATTTATGGTGCCTAAAATTTTGGGTTGCTATATATATATATATATATATATATATATATATATCAATTTTTTATAAAAAAAAATATTCTAATATTATCATAGTATTTGGTCTGGAAACCTGTTGGCGTCAGACCACAGACGTTGGTCATATACAAACACTATATCTAGGTGAAACTTAGCACGTTAATTTTTTTTTTGTATTGTAATAAAAGAAAAAATATCGAATTTCCTGTTAGTTAATTCATCGAAGTTTTATTTTGATTTAGAAATTCGATAACCGTAGCGTTTAAGTTTGATTTTGTTGAAAAATCATGTTTTGGACCCATGTTATCGACGCGTTTGGTCCATAACGGGACCATCAAAAATGAAAAATCTTATACAGGACATTCACTCGCTCTCTGCCTTTCACCCTCTGTTACCAATATATATATATATTGGTTTATGTTTTTAGACAAGTCTTTATTAATTTGAAAAAAAAATCGTTTTTTATTTAAGATTTTGGTTTATGTTTTTTTTTGGGTTTCTATAAATGTATCTATAGAAAGGGAATTTGTTAGATAATATACAGATTCGATGATATTGGCAGCTCGTATGAATTCTGGACGGAACATATATTATCTGTATACATATATAATTACATTGCAATTTTATTGTGTAATCCTATTATAGATATATTCATATAATATTTTAGATAAACTTGAATTTTTCCGATTTGATATATAGGTTTAATATTTTAGATAAACAATAGCACATTGGATAGGGTTGACAATGATGAATATTGTCGTCGAAAATATTAAAAACCTATCATAGATTATTCATCTTGAGGGAGGATATAAGAGATGACCAATGAGATATCACCCCTAAATACAGATATCAAACTTCACAATAGCAAACCGAAGATTTTAGGAAGATATTATTCCTAAAATATTATCATTAATACAGTTATGATTTACTTTAGACATTATATCTAGAATATTCTATTATATTTTGCTATATATTATGGTGTAATCTTTCACTCATCAATAGAAAAACATTTCTCTATTAGTATATATGTACACATACACGTTAATTCGTTAAATGGAAAACATGCGTTATTTAGTAAATATCGTCAAATCTGTTTCTAAATTTGTTTATATTGATGGTTTTCTGAATATTATGTCGGCAGTTTTATAAAATAAATGCGAAAATAAAGTAATAACTTAAATAAATAGAGGAAAAATACAGAATAAATTCATGGCACTTAGTGAAGCCGAACAAATTTTTTTTTTTTAAAAAAAAAGGGGGAAACCCTAAAATGATGGTCGTGAAGGAGAGGAAAGAAAGAGACGAAGGAGCAGTGGGGTCACATGCAGAGAGCGATTCCTGCATGTGATTCATCGTATCGACAACATTATCCTTTCTTTTTATTTTCATTTTCATTTTATTTTTATATTTTAATGATTATAAATCTTTATGGTGAAAAGTCACAAAACTCATAGTCACGGGTCACACAAATCCTTCACTACACGCCAAAATATCACCGCGTTCTATTCTATCTCATCTTCGCGAAATATATAGCAAAAAGAAAAACAAATTATTAATATTCTTTTTTTTTGTTGAAATTATTAATATTCTTAATTCACACACACCAAAAAAAAAAAGATATGGAGGAGAAGGAAATGAAAATACATATTCAAAAAAAATATTGATGGGTATATCCTAGATTATATATGTCCTTTGGACATAAAATTTCACGAACCAATGGTTTAACAATTTTTTCATAATTCAAAAATTCAACAGATCCCAAAATAGTGGAAAATTTTGGATGAATATCGTTTTTCATGTTTGGATTTGAACATAAGATAAGATCATAATCTGTATGTTCTCTTATCATTAGTTGACCCGAACTTGTGTAATGGTTTAACATATTGTTATGAAGTATAAAACAATCTTATTGTAAACAAAATATTCATTTAAATATCTCTACAAAAAATAATACTACGGCCCACGAACCTTGTGAAAGAGTTTCTAATAGTTTCGTTCGTGATGCAGTATCCTACTTATATTGAAAATATTTCGTAAGGTTAACCATGATATATTATATATAGTTGATTTTGCATGTATACATGATGTACATTGCAATATATAGTAGTTTATTGAATATTTTTTCCTTCGTTTTCCCATTAAAAGATACAGAATGTAGGGCAAATAATACGTAAATATAGTAAGTTATAAACCCACAAGAAATGATGTATCATACAGCAAACAAATCATATGCAAACTTCGCTTCCATCACATTTTAATATCCGCGAAATTAGATAATAAATATGCTTATAAACATTCAACTATCGAGTGCTCGATTACGATTTTCTTTTTTCACTATTCTAAACCCGTATATTCATCCAATTATTATGGTAACGAAAGAAAAACAAAGATAATATTATATTAAAGTACAAACAAGAAAATTAATTAAAAAATAATTAATAGAATTGTATTATTATATGATACTTGCGTGTTTACAACCATTTAACAAAGTCTAAAAGAAGCTCATTTTCCGCATTCAGACTTGTGTGATATACATATATCACGTCGCAAGCCATATCTCTATCGTCTTCAATAGAAAATCTGGCATATTCCACCGATCCATAATATATAATTAATTATTATTATTATTATAAACAGAATAATATATATGAAATGTCTATATAAAGAAATGACGCATTGTCCCATTTCTCACTACCTCCTCACTCGAAATGGGTGCTCACAAGCAAAACCTCCTCATATATATATATATATATAACATGAACTTAAGAATTAGGCCAAAATCAATTAGCGTATTTAAATTGTGAGACATGTCAAAGTTTAACACTTTGATCATTATAAATTTTGAAAAGTTGTGTTTTTCCGAGACTTTTTAGTTATTTCTGATAGTTACTTCTACAAAAGTCGTACTAATGGGAATAATTTTTAGTATTTTTTATATATATATGTGTAAATATAAAATAAAAAAAGATAAATACGCGACATAATTTTACTGTAAGAAATAAATTAAGAGCCCTTGAACCCTCTCGTTTTCTTTGTAAATGACAACTAAACATTTTTGTAGCTATCAGAATTTATATTTTTATTATGAGAAATCATTACTCGTAATCATAATTGTGTAGCAGTCAATTAATTTAAAAGCTATTTGTAAAGGTCATCACTGCATTGTCACGGATGTCAATTAATGTCACCAGTCAGTTTATAAGAATGTATGCAATTATGACGACTAAACTTGTTATTAAAAAAAAAATTTGTTGTTTATATACAGTCTCTTTGCCTAGATTTTATATATGTTCAACTTGCTGTATATTTGATTTGTAGAGGTAAATTGATTAAATATTAATGAAAGATCGTAGTCGAGTGGTGAAGTTGATCGAGAAGAGTGAGATGTTCTTATGTCAGATACCATGTTTGAACCGTGGGTTTGGAGGTGGAGGTTTCGCATTTGCGGTACATAGGTTGCCTCTGAAAGTCGGGTTGAAGGTTCATGAAACTTCCGAGTTAACAAAAAAAAAATAGTTGATTAAATATTACATTATCGATTAGTGAAATTTTATGTTTCATGAGAGAAGGCTGTTGGGGCATCGACGAACAAAAACCAACAAACGGTCCAAAACGAATAATTAGTTTAAACTAAACATTTATCATATATAGAGAGAGATTATTGTATATTTCAGGCATATCGTATAAACGATCCAAAACCGTATAAAGTGTATAGAAGAAAAAAAAACTTACATTGAAATTGTCCCGAATGGTATTTAGAGATTGGAATCTCTCTCCTATGCCAACACGAGGGTTCAACTATTTCCATGCAATTAAATTAGTGGATACAATACAAATATAAATAAAAATGTATATCGCCCCACATCACATGAAATGGGCTGAGTAAAAGGTTTGAGAGGGCAATGATGGAGTCTAGGCCTCATACCCCTATGTAAGTAACTCATTGAGGGGAGGTAAAAAAAAAACCTTATAATACAATAACCATATATACATATACATATATATATATATATATATGTATGCAAGTGTGTATGTATAAAGACAGAAACTAAAATTCAAAAGAGAAAAAAATGCCAAAGATCGTAATAAAAAAAAAGGTGGACCCTCTTGTAAGGAAAGGAGGAAGGATCTCTTTCTGGTGTGTCCCTTATAAGTCAAATAATAATGACAAAATCCCTAATAAATTCACTCGCCACTAGACATTGCATTACGACCTTTGGTTCCTCCCATTTTCCTTTGGACATAAAATTTCACGAACCAATGGTTTAACAATTTTTTCATAATTCAAAAATTCAACAGATCCCAAAATAGTGGAAAATTTTGGATGAATATCGTTTTTCATGTTTGGATTTGAACATAAGATAAGATCATAATCTGTATGTTCTCTTATCATTAGTTGACCCGAACTTGTGTAATGGTTTAACATATTGTTATGAAGTATAAAACAATCTTATTGTAAACAAAATATTCATTTAAATATCTCTACAAAAAATAATACTACGGCCCACGAACCTTGTGAAAGAGTTTCTAATAGTTTCGTTCGTGATGCAGTATCCTACTTATATTGAAAATATTTCGTAAGGTTAACCATGATATATTATATATAGTTGATTTTGCATGTATACATGATGTACATTGCAATATATAGTAGTTTATTGAATATTTTTTCCTTCGTTTTCCCATTAAAAGATACAGAATGTAGGGCAAATAATACGTAAATATAGTAAGTTATAAACCCACAAGAAATGATGTATCATACAGCAAACAAATCATATGCAAACTTCGCTTCCATCACATTTTAATATCCGCGAAATTAGATAATAAATATGCTTATAAACATTCAACTATCGAGTGCTCGATTACGATTTTCTTTTTTCACTATTCTAAACCCGTATATTCATCCAATTATTATGGTAACGAAAGAAAAACAAAGATAATATTATATTAAAGTACAAACAAGAAAATTAATTAAAAAATAATTAATAGAATTGTATTATTATATGATACTTGCGTGTTTACAACCATTTAACAAAGTCTAAAAGAAGCTCATTTTCCGCATTCAGACTTGTGTGATATACATATATCACGAAAAAAGCCATATCTCTATCGTCTTCAATAGAAAATCTGGCATATTCCACCGATCCATAATATATAATTAATTATTATTATTATTATAAACAGAATAATATATATGAAATGTCTATATAAAGAAATGACGCATTGTCCCATTTCTCACTACCTCCTCACTCGAAATGGGTGCTCACAAGCAAAACCTCCTCACTAATATCTCCGTATTACTTCTCCTCTTCGCCACTCTCATTGCTTCTTCCTATGCTTGTGACTGTGGCCCTTCAAAACCGCCAAAACACCCTTCAAAACCACCTAAACACCCTTCAAAACCACCCAAACCCCCTGCCCTGAAACCACCAGCACCAAAACCGCCCGTCAGACCAAAACCGCCCGTCAAACCAAAACCACCAACCGTGAAACCTCATCCTCCTTACACCCCAAAGCCGCCGCCGGTCAAGCCCCCGTCGCCGCCTCCGCCAACCGTAAAGCCACCATCTCCGAAACCTACGCCGCCTCCGCCAACCGTAAAGCCACCATCTCCGACACCTACACCGCCTCCGCCAACCGTAAAGCCACCATCTCCGACACCTACGCCACCAACACCTACGCCGACGCCCCCAACACCGACGCCGCCTCCGGAAACGCCCTGCCCACCACCTCCGCCGCCTAAGCCGACGCCGCCGGCGACGCCTCCGCCGCCAAAGCCAGAGACTTGTCCGATCGACACGTTAAAGCTGGGAGCGTGTGTGGATATTCTGGGCGGTTTGATACACATTGGACTGGGCAAAAGCCACGCGAAAGAAGCTTGCTGTCCTGTCTTGGGAGGGCTCGTGGATCTCGACGCGGCGGTTTGTCTCTGCACCACCATTAAAGCCAAGCTTTTGAACATCAATCTCATTATTCCCATTGCTCTCGAGCTTCTCGTTGACTGTGGCAAGACCCCACCTCCTGGGTTCCAGTGTCCTGCTTGAGAGAAATAAACCTCCGGTTGAATCAAAGGGTTTCCGGTTTCGTTGGTTTTCTTCCGGTTTAATGTGTTTTGCTTAGGGCGAGGAGATTAATTTGTAAGACATTTATTGATCTCTCGATGTCTTTGGTAGGGTTCGGTTTGTGTGTTTGTGTTCTGTTTGTTTGTCATACAATAAAAAAAGGGATTGTTGTTTGGGTTTGATAATGAAATATTTGGGTTTCATAAATTTATTCTGACTAAAAAAATGTTTAGAAGAACCTTAGTTCTGATATCATCGGAAAAAAATCTGACCTATAAAATTTATAACAAGGAGCAAATGTAATTTTAATATGAAGGTATTTAATAATTTTATTTAAGAACTTAGTTTATAAAGAAAAATAATTTTAATGAATGTAATTGGAACAAAGGACCCATTGCAATACGCATGGCTCTGGCGCTACTACATGTAATCTTGCATTGTTGGTTTTGAAAAGGGGTGTACGTTTTGGGAAATGATTCGAGATCGATCGGTACAGGAATGTATGGGTTTGATTTTTTCGATTTTACAAAAATAGATACCAAACGGTTTTTATATCATGTTCAGTTCGGGTCGTTTTCGATTTTTATAAAAAAAAAGAAAGATAGATTTTACTTAAAAATTTCCAGTTTTTCGGATTTTTTTAAAATTCGGTTCGGTTCGATTTTGAGAAATTTGGTTTTCTAAAAATAATACCGTTCGAAAATTTAGAATGGTTGGAATTGAAAAAATATCGTATTTTTCGATTCGGTTCCGAAGAATCGAACTGAACCGTCCATCCCTAATTTTGAATGTATTTTGTGGCAAAGTTGTAATTATTCATAATGTAGTACTATTGTAGTAGAACTTCTAACGTTTTTTCCTTACAGCAACATATTACTATATAAACTTTAGTTTTACGTGATTTTTGTTTAATTTCAATAACGTAAATTTGAATATTATATAAACTCTTCTTAATTTCCGATATAAACAGTTGAACTTAATAATATATATTGATGTCCAACTTCGATTCTAGTTACATGTTGCATTCGTGGTAAATTATATTAGAGATGTATATATGAATAGGGTTAGTCTCTTATTTATCAAATTGTTATTAGATCAATTTTTATAACAATGTCGAATAGTTGAGGACCGACAACAAGTGTTAAAATGTAAAAAAAAATGGAATTATATATTTATTTTTTCGCGTTAATAAATTTTTTTTAACCACATGCTGCGGTGGGGAATTAGAGGCTGACGCGATCTTATTTGAGATCGTAAAATGATTCTTTCCCCATGCACTGTGTGGCCAGTCGTACGTAGACATAAAATTCATTAAGATAAGCTATTTGATGGACCATATAATTGCATGAATATCCGGCAGATATTATTAACGGCGAAAAATCGCCCACGTACGCAGCATATATAAAAGCTCCGTTATCTTTTTTTTAACGGCGTACGCTAACCCTTAAACGGAATTCAAATGAATATACTCGCACATTAACACTGCATACTTTTTTTGTGTGTGTGTTAAAGTGCACAAGTTATTATGTCGGTGCTTTTAAATCCATGTGCGTATATGTATGTATGTATGTATGTATGTATGTATGTATCATGTATGTATGTATGTATGTATGTATGCATGATGACATTTTTGTAACTATTCATTGGCAATATCTATGAAAATAGCCACGCAAAAAAAAGATAGGAAGTGGGTTGGAATTTACATGATTCATATCGGATTACAGATGTCGGAGCGTTACCTCCAAGATTAGAGTGGTCCAGACTCCAAACCAAGGTGAATATATTATATACTTTTTCACTTTCTTACAAAAAAGAATAACTACGAATACCAAAAAAAAAAAGAATAACTACGAAGTAAAAGCTAAAATAAAAACACCGATGGACCGTACTTATCCACAGAGCCCATCTATTTAATGGGCTTACTAATGGGTTTATTTTTAGGCCCATATTCTTGTAGGCTGACAAAGGGTAAATTTTAAATTTATAATTTATATCATTATTAAATTAAATTGAGAATTTTATCAAAAGAGTCGTCCACCCAAATTTGACACCATCTTGGTCACCAATTACCATGAAAAAGGATAATATATATTTTATTAAATATAGATTATGAATATCATATATGTTTATATTTTTATAGGTTATAATATTCAATTCTATTATAATAGCAAATGTATTAACCCCATATATGATCTATCAAATTTTAATTTTAATTAGTTGAAAATAAAACATATATATTTTTTTAATTTGATTAATTATAATCGAATGCGGTGCGGATATACATTTTGATAGGAATTACTGTAAATCATCGGTTTGATCGGGTAGAGGTAATATGATTATTACTGGGTTTTTGTTTTGAAAATCTTTCATAGATTATCGGGTCGGGTTTTAAAGTGCATACTCTTACTGAAATATCAACATGGTCGGATCGTCAGAGTTCGGTTATGGTTAATATCGTATTCTTTGACACCTTAACCCTTATTATGGATGAGTTACGATAGATTTGTCACGTATAAGAAACAACGTGTACATCGTAGAATGAAAATTTTAGGATGAGTTGGGATAATAAAAATACTAATAAACAAATTTAACAAAATACATATAAAATAAATGAAAACGTCCAAACTAAATGAACCCCATATCAAATTTATTTAAATTTAAAGTCTAGCGATTTTATATAATTGTTGTACCAATATTATTTTGATACACATAAATCACACAAATATAAAATAATCTCGATTTTTTAGCAAATATATTAAATAGATATCTAAAAAATTTAAATATTGATCATGAGATGATATAAGTTTAGTATTATACCAAGATTTTTTATAAAATATTTATTAAATTAAATATGTTAGTTGTTAATTTCTAGCACCAACCAAATTAATTAAATATGTTATTTGTCGAATTGTAAAATTTCTGCAAATATTCATTCGATATTCCACATTTTAACCTTTGGTTATATACCACAACAAACGCTAGATCTATCACGTATGAAGAACATACACGCTATGTTATTATATATTCTATCTTCTATTATTGATGATTTTAGAGATAATGGTAGATTTATCACGTATGAAGAATTAAATCAACTTTTTGTCAAATAATCGAATAGTTTATGACAAATTGTGATGGATTAGATAAACAAAATTAGAATAAAAAGAAAGTCCACGCAATGCACGTGGATTAATACCTAGTTATCATAAAAAAAATGGATAAAATATATTTTGTTAAATATAGATTATAAATCTTATGTGTTTATATTTTTATAGATTATAATATTCAATTTTATTATAATAGCAAATGCATTAACCCATTGTGTAGACTAAAATTACATATAAATTTTAAATAATTTAATTTTAGTTTTAAAATTAAATATAATATATTTTATTTTAAAATTTATAATTTATATTTTTAAGTCAAATGGAGATATTTTTAGAAAGAGTCTAGATATTTTTTTAGAAAGAGTCTAGATAAATATATTTTTCTATTTTCGTGGTTTATAATGTAAAATTAATTTTTAGAATGTAGAATATTAGAGTAATATTTTTAGAAAGAAAATTAAAAAAAAACCGAACTATTGATTTTTTAACATTAAAAAAGGGGAATAAAAAGGTTTCATATTATTAAATAAAAATAATTTTTTTTTGAAGTGTTAAGATAAGGGGATGATGATTTTTTCGAATAGGGATTCGACACAACTTTTGTATTATGGAACAAATGTATCACATGTATATATCGCACGGAATAAAAATAAATACAAATTTTAAATAATTTTATTTTAATTTTAAAATTAAATATAATATATTTTATTTTACATTTATAATTCATATTATTAAATTAAAACGTGATTTTTTATAATACAGATAATGGGATGATACATTTTTTTCGAAAATAGTTTGTGAATAATTTTTGTGTTTAGATTTTTTGTGGATTATGTTACAGAATCAATTGGAGTAATATTTTTAGAAAAAAAAATTCTAATATAGTTATACTTCTGAAAATTTTTTAATGTTAAGAGGAGAGAATAGCAAAAAATTTCAAAAATATTTTATACTTTTAAATTAAAATGATTTTTTTTTAAGTTTTAAGACAATGATATTTTTTTTTGAAGAGAGATAGTATGTATATTTTCATGGATTATAGTATATAATTTTAATATAATAGAAAATGTATTAACCTGACCGCATAAAATATAGTCTAACTAATAAATTTTATTATTTAAGAAAAAAATATAGTTTATGATGAATATAGTTTAATTATACATTCAAATACTAATAAAATTAAATTAATTCTTAAGTGAAAATGTTTGGTGACAATAAAAATAACGGTGTGTAGCAAATACTGACAATTTTTTACGGGTCTAAGAGACTGTATCTCAACACTTTATAATTCCAAAATAAACTAATATTTGATATGCTTGGTTGGTAAAACCAAGAAAAAAATATAGTTTATGATGAATATAGTTTAATTATATATTCAAATACTAATAAAACTAAATTAATTCTTAAATGAAAATGTTTGGTGATAATAAAAATAACGGTGTGTAGCACTGACAATTTTTTACGGTTCAAAAAGACTGTATCTCAACACTTTATAATTCCAAAATAAACTAATATTTGATATGCTTGGTTGGTAAAACCAAAAAATCTTCTAATTAAATATATAAATAGAGAAAATATAAATAAAAGTGCATGTGTGTAACATATTTATATACATACATATATAGAAGGACAGATATAATTGTGATTTATAGTCGAAAAAACGGTTAGAAATCGAAACATTTTTTGATAAAGAAAAAAAAACGAACCTTGAAGAATGATTGAGGTGATTCATGATATATATTTGGGTTCTTCAAAGTTTGGCGTGAAAGAATGATGTGTGAGTCATCGGATGACAGAGTATTGTCGGGTTACTCCCATAAAATTAATATTTTTTTTCAAAGGTCCGTATTCCATTTCTATAGAATCATTACAGAATCATATTCTATAAAATTAATATTCATATCATAATAAAATATCAATGTTATTTATTTTTGCGTTTGGAGTCGTAAAGAAGCATTTTTCCATCAACCTCCACTTCCCTTTAGAAATTACTTACATATTTAAGTATGAGAATAAAATATATGTCAAACCTCTAGCACGGATTGAATCTTTCGTCTTTAGCACGCCTAAACACCAATTTGGTAGATCCGAAGTTTGTATTACTG